ATGTGTCCTGTAGAAATTTATTTTTAAAGAATTATTTTATTTAACTTTATTTATTATTATTATCATTATTATTTTCCAGTTTCATCAGAGAGAGACAGAGAGAGAGAGGAAGTGAGAAAGCAAGCCACCAGGTCCGAGACTTGAACCATGGCTGGCCATGTGGGAGTCCAGTGCCTTTAACCACCATGCCCCTTGCCGGCCCCTCTGTAGAAAATTTTTAAAAAAGGAAAAAAAGAGATAAATAATTCTTTAAAAAGAAAGATCATGGAGATGCAATCAGCAAAGTCAGGACTGAAAACTGCAGGACAAATGACCTGGTTCCTTCAAGAAAAAGAAGCAAGGGGGAGAAAAGAAGGAAAGAAGAAAGGAATGAGAGAGAAAGGGACGGAGAGAGAGAACAAGAGGTGGGTCGGGGACCACAGACCTGACTTGCTTTAAGAGACCTGCTGATCAGTTCTAATGTGTGCACTTTATTTTTGGAGCCCAATCCATACAAATACATTACCAAAGGGAAAAAAAAAAGACATTTATGGGAAATTGAAAATTTGAACACTGGAAGTTTGATACTAGTAAATTCTTTTTCTGCTAAAGGGTGCATGTACAATCCAGAAAGAGGGAGATGAGAAAGCACCCCCATGGGAATGATTATACCAATTTCTTCTCCATCTCTCCTTCCTTTTGGGATTTTTGAACATGCACACGCATGCACTCGGTGTGTTTCTTACGCTGCTAGGTCCAGGGCTTACACCGCGTGGTAGGCCGTGCGAGATCCTGCTGCCTTAACCATCAGGCAACCCAGTCAGTCCAATACATTCTTGACTATGTTAGTAACTATGTTATGTGCTTATGCTAAAAAGAGTCATTATCTTTTTTTTTTTTTTTTTTTTGAGAGGTTTTTGCTATAGGGTACGTGCGCTCGCCAGACAGACAGAGAGAAACATAGAGACAGAAAGCGAGAAATCACCCCCCCAGGGGGGATGGTCACGCCACAATCCCTTCTCCTCCGTTCTCCTCTCGGGATCTTGGGCATGCATGCACACGCGCCCAGCGTGAGTTTTAAGCCACCGGGTCCGGGACGCGAACCATGGTCGACTACGTGGGAGTCCAGCGACATAGCCATTACACTAACTGCTGGTTCCCCAAGAGTCATTATCTTTTAAAGACACATGCAGATGAAATTCAAAAGGAAGGGGAGGTTGGGCTAGGGTATAAGTGTGATAAGCAGTGAGTTGACACTGAAGCTGGATGAGTACATGGGCTGCCCCCCTCATCCTACCCCAGGCCCCTGCGTGTTACAGCAGCAGGTTGCAGTCTAGACGCATCTGAGATGGAGAGCTCCTCTAGTAGCCCAGGGGCCCAGGCAGGCTCTCTGGGGGAAATGGGGGAAGGTGGGGAGACCAGAGAGGGAAGTGGCAGCAGCTCTTCCACTGAGGAGGGCTGGCCTGTGTGGGCCTGGCCATGTGGGTACAGGCATTGCTACCTTCAGACAGCTGAGGGTGTGAGTGGGTGGCTCCAAAAATAGCAGGGGAGGCAGAGGGGAGGGCGGGAGTCAAGTGGAGATGCTCAATGGCTGAGGCCTGGGCAGCTGCCCAAGCTGGCACCTCCGCATCTGCCCCCTCCCCCCGCCCCCCTCAAGGGACGGAGAGAGAGAACAAGAGGTGGGTCGGGGACCACAGACCTGACTTGCTTTAAGAGACCTGCTGATCAGTTCTAATGTGTGCACTTTATTTTTGGAGCCCAATCCATACAAATACATTACCAAAGGGAAAAAAAAAAGACATTTATGGGAAATTGAAAATTTGAACACTGGAAGTTTGATACTAGTAAATTCTTTTTCTGCTAAAGGGTGCATGTACAATCCAGAAAGAGGGAGATGAGAAAGCACCCCCATGGGAATGATTATACCAATTTCTTCTCCATCTCTCCTTCCTTTTGGGATTTTTGAACATGCACACGCATGCACTCGGTGTGTTTCTTACGCTGCTAGGTCCAGGGCTTACACCGCGTGGTAGGCCGTGCGAGATCCTGCTGCCTTAACCATCAGGCAACCCAGTCAGTCCAATACATTCTTGACTATGTTAGTAACTATGTTATGTGCTTATGCTAAAAAGAGTCATTATCTTTTTTTTTTTTTTTTTTTTTGAGAGGTTTTTGCTATAGGGTACGTGCGCTCGCCAGACAGACAGAGAGAAACATAGAGACAGAAAGCGAGAAATCACCCCCCCAGGGGGGATGGTCACGCCACAATCCCTTCTCCTCCGTTCTCCTCTCGGGATCTTGGGCATGCATGCACACGCGCCCAGCGTGAGTTTTAAGCCACCGGGTCCGGGACGCGAACCATGGTCGACTACGTGGGAGTCCAGCGACATAGCCATTACACTAACTGCTGGTTCCCCAAGAGTCATTATCTTTTAAAGACACATGCAGATGAAATTCAAAAGGAAGGGGAGGTTGGGCTAGGGTATAAGTGTGATAAGCAGTGAGTTGACACTGAAGCTGGATGAGTACATGGGCTGACCCCCTCATCCTACCCCAGGCCCCTGCGTGTTACAGCAGCAGGTTGCAGTCTAGACGCATCTGAGATGGAGAGCTCCTCTAGTAGCCCAGGGGCCCAGGCAGGCTCTCTGGGGGAAATGGGGGAAGGTGGGGAGACCAGAGAGGGAAGTGGCAGCAGCTCTTCCACTGAGGAGGGCTGGCCTGTGTGGGCCTGGCCATGTGGGTACAGGCATTGCTACCTTCAGACAGCTGAGGGTGTGAGTGGGTGGCTCCAAAAATAGCAGGGGAGGCAGAGGGGAGGGCGGGAGTCAAGTGGAGATGCTCAATGGCTGAGGCCTGGGCAGCTGCCCAAGCTGGCACCTCCGCATCTGCCCCCTCCCCCCGCCGCCCTCCCCTGAGCCCTCTGGCTCTCCCGGTGTCTCCAGAACCTTCCTTTCTCTCTCCGTGTATCCCTGAGGAGGCAGAGAGATGCCACGGTGGTTCTAAGACACACATTGCCCTGCCTGAGAGCCCCAGTGGATGCTGACTCTGGAATCTGGTGCCTCTCCAGGGCTGGGTAGGACGGTCAGGTGGAAGGAGAGGGAGTGAGAGAGAAAGGGACAAGGACAAACCTGTGCAGCAGTCACCCTAGTTTACAGGCCACCACTCTCCCCCGTAGGGCCAGCCCGGGGCAACCTGCACATCCTTACCTGGGACGTCTTGTGCTGGGAGTGAAATGGGCACCACCTTTCATTCTGAGGCCCTAGGAGCGTTCTCACACAGGCACCAAGGACTTGGGAACCTGGGTAGCCATGGGTCCTCGCGTCTTCAAGGCACCTGGGGAGAGTCCCTCTGCCTGCTCTGAGCAGGAGGCCAGGGAAAGTAGGGCCGCCCGCCCCCTTCACACCTGGACCCAAGTCCTTTGGCAGATGCAGGAAGGAGGGGAGTGGCACCTTGCCAGCCAGTGCATTTGGGCGCAAGTGACTGAGGCAGGCACTGAGCGAAACACACACTCACCTTGCAGCTGCACGGCCTTGAGAAGGTTCCCCTGTGCCTCCGTTTTATCATCTGTAAATAACACCCGCCTCATGGCACTGCTGTGGGGATGGAAAGAACTGACTAATTGTTTTCCCCTAGTTTTTTGTTATAGGGCATGTGCGCTCATTGGACAGAGACAGAAAGAGAGGAAAAGTGAGAAATCATCGGGAGGGGGGGGGACCAGTAGTTAGCGTAATGGCTATGTCGCTGGACTCCCATGTAGTTGACCGCGGTTCACGTCCTGGACCCAGTGGCTTAAAAAAAACTCACGCCAGGCGCGTGTGCATGCATGCCCAGGATCCCAAGAGGAGAATGAAGGAGAAGGGATTGCGGCATGACCATCCCCCCTGGGGGGTGATTTCTAGCTTTCTGTCTCTCTGTCTCTCTCTGTCTGTCTGGCGCGAGCACACGCGCCCTATGGCAAAAAAAACCCTCTCCAAAATAAAAAAGAAATCATCCTCCAGGGAAGATGGCCACACCACAATCCTTTCTCCTCCATTCTCTCAGGATTTCAGGCACACTAGGCGTGATTTCAAGCCACCCATCCAAGACTCGAACTGCAGATTCAGTCATGTGGGATCTAGCTCCTCAACCACCACGGCGCCTGCTGGCCTCTTTTTTGTTTGTCTTTAAAGGACTGGTCTATGTAAATCCAGGCAAGACCTTGGGCCCAGCTGCTGCAGGCAGGGTTAGCTGCTTTGCCCACTAGCCTGCACACTCTGCGGGGCAGGGCTTAGTCCTCAGCATCCCCAGTGCCTGCCAGCTGGTAGGTATCAAATGTGTGTGCTGCATTCATTATGTGGGGGATTCCTGACAATGAACCAACAGGCAATCACTGTTTGTGGATTGGGGCTTGTGGAAATCAAAAGCTAGAAAGTGCATGTGAGTTCCTCAAGCCCAGATCTCCAGTTTGTGGCCAAGGTAGGGCTCCGGCCTGGGTCTGCAGGCTTCCAAGCCCATGCGCTAAGCCCTGATCTGTGAGCCAGAGAAGGCACCTGTCCCTACCTGGCTGGGCTGTCCAGGGCTCGCTCTCGTCCCAGGAGTGCTCGGTCTGGGATTAAGAGCTGAGTGGGTGGGCACCTGTGTTTGCTGTCCAGGAGGCTGCCCGCCCCCTACAGCTACTAATTGCCAGCCTTGCACCAGGTCCAGGGATACGAAGATAAGAAGACCCTAGTCTCTGAGGAGTTCGGAGCACCTTCACCACCCTACGTGGCTGGGTTGCTGCCAGGGCTAAAGGGACACCAGCTCAGCCCAGGAGAACAGAGGAGGTCAGAAAGATTTCAGAGGAGGGGACGTCTGTGCCTCGTCTTGAAAGGTGACCGGAAGTGTACTGCCTGGAAGAGGCAGGCAGAGAACTCCAGGCAGAGGGAAGGTCTTAGGCAAGGACCTGGAGATTTCAGGGAGCTTATGGAGGTTGGGAAGAGCTGAACCAGGCTGGGAGGAGCCTAGGAGTAGAGGGAGGTGGGCAGAGGGGGATTCCGGGCAAGATGGCCAGGCATAGGAAGAGCCTCCACACCACCTGGAGGTGAGCTGGGGGCACCTGGGCAATGGGAGCCCTAGGGTTGGGAGGAGGACTGAGATTGTAGGGTCAGTGGCTCAGACCGTGGCCACCAGGAGAGCAGGGCTGGAGGGACGCCGGGTGTGAGCATGGTGGCCGCCAGGATTCCTGGATTCAGGGCCTGCTCTGGGCAGCGAGGAGGGTGCCTGGCTGAAACGGCCCCAGCTGCTCTGGGACACTCCCCGTTCCACCCTCCAGGCCTCCCTCCTCCCTGCCCCTGTCTCTGTCACTCACAGGGGCGGGCCGGGCTGGGGCCCGGCCACACTAATCTGGATTCCTCTCCTTTTGGGCAAGTTGGGGCCTTCGTGTGGGGGAGGCTCGGTGTGGGGGGGTATGACTGGCGGGGGGGATGAGATGGAAATATGGAGAGCCTTTAGGAGAGAGGTCTGGTGGGTGAGGCAGAGGCCGAAGGGCTTCAGGGGTGCAAGGTATAAATGTCACTGCAGGCAGGGGCTGCAGGGAAGGGGCAGGGAGCTGGACTCGGGGAGGTAAGGATGGGAGCTCTGGGGTCCTGACGTGTTTTGGCAGGCCCAGAGGGTCGTGGGCCCTTTAATGCGCCGACCGGGCTCTGCTTCTGCCCGGGCCCAGGCTAAATTTGGCCCTGAGAGGGAGGGTGGGAGGGCCTGGCCAGGGCCTCTGGTCTTCTGGGCTCAGGACCCCCTCGCTCTGCTTTTGCTGGCCTCTAGTGCAGCCCCACTCCTTCCTGTACTGCAGGGGAGGCAGCTGGGGTCCCGGCTCAGAATGGGGATCCCTCCTCCTCTGCAGGCTCCTTCCCCTCCCCCTGCCCTCCCCTCTCAGACACAGCATGTGCTTTTCCAAGCCCTTGACACACGCTACACACATACACAAAACACATGCACATGCTCCATACGTACCACACACACATCATATACACACACCACACCCCTACACACACACCACACTATACACACACACCACACACACATCACATGCACGTACCACACACCACACATATATCACATGCACGTACCACACACACATCACATACACATACCACACATATATCACATACATGTACCACACATATATCATATACACACCACACCACACCCCACACCCCACATACTACACACACCACACACTACACACCACACACACACATAACATACACACACCACACTATACACACACACCACACACATCACATATACATGCCACACACATATCATACACACACCACACACACCACACTATACACACACACCACACACATCACATATACATGCCACACACATATCATACACACACCACACACACCACACTATACACACATGCCACACATATATCACATGCACGTACCACACACATCCCATATACATACCACACACCACACATATATCACATGCATGTACCACACACGTATCATATACACACACCACACCTCCCCACACACACCTCACATACTACACACACCACACATCACATACTACACATACCACACACACATAACATACACACACCACACTATACACATACCACACACACCACACACATCACATATACATGCCACACACATATCATACACACACCACACACACCACACACACCACACCACACCACACACACTACACACACATACCACACACATCACATGCACACAGCACACACACACCACACACACACATACCACACACCACACACACGTCATACACACACCACGCTATACACACACACCACACATACATCACATACACATACCACACACATATCATACACACACTCCCCACAAACCCCACACACACCCCACACACAGTGCACACCCACACCACACACACACCACACCACACACACATGCCACACACACATCACATACATACAGCACACACACCACACACACCACACACATATCATACACATATACACCACTCATACCACACACACACCCCTCCCAGCCAAATACCAGTCCTCACCCCCTGTGGCCCCCAGTGGGACCCTAAAATGAGGAGTGGAAAGGTCTTTGTGGGAGAGGCCCTCTCATGAGTCCATAAAAGAGAAGCCTGCGTCTTGTCACCAATTAAAATGGCAACAGAGGTGGGGACCAGCAGATGGTGTGATAGTTAAGTCGCTGGACTCCCATGACCAGGACTGGAGTCCCAGACAGGGTGGCTTAAAACTCACGCCTGGCACATGTACGTGCATGTCCCAAATCCCTAGAGAATGGAAAAGAAGGGATTGCAGTATGGCCATCCCCACTGGAGGGTGATTTCTTGCTTTCTGTCTCTCTGTCTCTCTGTCTGTCCAGCCAGTGCACACTCCCTATAGCAAAAATCTCTAAACAAACAAACAAAAGGCAACAGAGCCTCCCTACCCATTCCTTGTCCCTGTCGCTGGAAGTCAGCAAAGGGTCCCCTTCCAAGGGACACTGAGGACTCGGACAGGGTGGGGAAGGGAGATTTGCTCTGCCCAGGACCTGCGTGTTTGGAACCATGGTGTCCCCACAGGTCTCCTGGCAGGGCTGGGGGCCACGGAGGCCCAGCAGACAACCCTGCACCCACTCGTGGGCCGTGTCTTTGTGCACACCTTGGACCACGCCACCTTCCTGCGCCTTCCAGAGCATGTTGGTGAGAGGGCCTCATGGGCACCCAGTGGGCTGGGGTGTGCCTTGCTGGGGCTCCTCCCAGGCCTCCAGTCCCCTCCCCTCTCTTCCACCAGCTGTGCCACCCACCGTGAGCATCACCTACCAGGCCCACCTCCAGGGACGCCCAGACCTGCCTCGGTGGCTCCGCTACACTCAGCGCAGCCCCCAGCAACCTGGCTTCCTCTACGGCACGGCCACCCCAGAAGATCGTGGGCGCCAGGTCATCGAGGTGCCAGCAGGGACTCGCAGGAACTCATGGGGGCGGGGCAATATGGCCTCCCGGGAGCGGACCTGACAGCCGGGATTGGTGCTCGTTCTCACTCATTTACATATAATTTACATAGCTCTAATTGGCAGCAGTGCCTCAGTCCTCTCCGGCCCTGCCCTGCCGCTCAGGTCCTCCCCCTACCCTCCAGTCCCACTTCTCAGCTCTCTTCATTCCCCAGGTCACTGCCTACAATCGGGACAGCTTTGACACCACTCGGCAGAAGCTGGTGCTATTGATTGAGGATCCAGAAGGTACCTCCGACCCACAACCCTCCCCTATCAATGCCAGCTCAGGGACTTCTGCCCTGGAAGGGGAAGCTGGCTGTGAAAGGGAGAGGCTTGAAGAGTGGTGGGGAGCAGGACATCCTGGAAAGTCTGGGGGGAAAGAATATTTATAAAGTTTCCAGGAACGGGTGCTGGACTGGGATTCCAGGCTCTGGAGTTGCTTAGTGGGGTGCCCTGTGGACAGACTGTAGGCAAGTCTTTGAGGCTGTGGGTTTGGGGGAGGGCATCTGGGGCCTGCGTTATATACGGAGAGCTGGGGGGCAGGAAGGGGTGTGAGGGGATGTGGGGAGGAGCTCAGGGGAGGGTCCAGGGCGGTGGGGGGTGAGCTGAAGCTGGGGGTAGCTGAGGTGCCCACCTGCCTGTCCTAGGCCCCCTGCTGCCATATCAAGCTGAGTTCCTGGTGCGCAGTCATGATGTGGAGGAGGTGCTGCCTTTGACACCTCAAAGCCGCTTCCTCACAGCTTTGGGGGGGCTCTGGGAACCAGGGGAGCTGCAGCTGCTCAACATCACTTCTGCCTTGGACCGTGGGGGCCGTGTCCCCCTTCCTATTGAGGGCCGCAAGGAAGGGTAGGCAAACCCAAGAGGGCTTCCTGAAAAAGGAGGAGCAACTTGTCTTTTGTTTAGGTGGTGGGCCTAGAAAAGAGGTGTCCCTAATTCCCAGGTGGAACTTTTCCCCTTTGCACACCCTTGTCACGCCCATCCATACCCCCCCCCCCCAAGCTTCATGACACTGTCCTCTCCCCTCCAGTCACCATTCATATTCTTCTTGTCCTTCCTGGGCCCAGACCTTCATTACCCTGTGCCTCATGAGGAATAAAGATCCATCCACCTGGGCTGGCTCCGTGGCCTGGTGGTTAGAGCAGCAGGATCCTGTATGGCCAACTGCATGGTTCCAGTCCCATACCCGGCAGCTCGAAAAACACGCTGAGTGCTGGTCCTACATGCCCACATCCCCACGGGAAGGAAGGTGGAGAAGGGATTGTGGTGTGACCATTTCCCATGGGGGTATTTTCTCCTCTGTCTCTCTCTGGTGAGTGTACATGCACTCCATCAAAAAAGAAAAAAAAGATGAAGATTTATTCATCAAAGAACATTCCTGGGGAAGAGGCCCCCCGAAAGAGTGAGGTGCTCTGTATATTTACCCGAACCCCAGATCCTGGGGTGGGGGTGTGACCTCTCCTGCCAGGCCTCAGCATTCACTTCTGCTGACTCTGCCTCCCAGTCCACACCCTCCATCCCACCCCTGGACCACGGCCCACTTCAGGACAGCTTTGACCCCACTGGGCAGGCCGGTGCCAGGGGGTCACACGCTCTGCTGACGGAGCTTCTCTCTGGGCCCAGGGTATACATCCAGGCGGGCTCTACCACGCCCTTCTCTACCTGCCTGAAGATGGTGGCGTCCCCCGACAGCCACGCCCGCTGTGCCCAGGGCCAGCCTCCGCTTCTCTCCTGCTACGACACCCTGGCACCCCACTTCCGCGTTGACTGGTGCAATGTGTCCCTGGTGAGGAGGGACCCTGCCTCCAGGGGAGGGGGCGAGGCACAGCCCCGTCGCAGTCCCTTTCCTCCTCGTCCACGGCTTCCCTCTCCAGGCTAGTTGGTCAGCTCAGTCCAGTTCTTGTTCAGGAATGCGCACACACGCCCTGAAATTCTACCCACTCACACAAGAGGGCGACAGAGTCTGCCGTCCGCAATGGGGTCTCCAACCGTCCAGCCCACGGGCGCTCCCCGCTTTCCCTGCCTCTGCGTGATGCTCTACGTCCCTCTAAGGCGCCACATGGCAAACTCACCTGCCGTAAGGAGTAGGTAGCTTTCCACGTTATGAACCCAAGATGCTCATTACGTCTTTGGGTCTTAAGCAGAGGTACGTAGGGGCCTAGAGAGCCTGACAACCCAGGATGGAGCTGCTGGCATGTTCTGTTCCTGTAAATGACCACGGGACTCATGCAGGGCCACACAGCCAGCGACTGGTAATCGACAAGTCTTGAGCTCTTGCTCCGTGCTAGGTACTTTAAATCACGTGATATCCCCATGACCACCCGAGGAGCAGGCACACTGTTATTCTGCTTCTGTGGGTGAGGAAACTGGGACCCGTACGGTAAGCGCTCCCAGCTGAGCCCTTGTCTGAGCCCGAGTCAGACCTTAGAGCTTGCGCTAACCAGTGCACAGTCCTGCCCCCCTTAGCATCTGTCTCTCCCAGCTCCTTGCCCAGTGCTTGTCCTGCTGGGTCACCTCGCTGGGGGATGCAGGAGGGAGGAAATGCCGGGGTTGCACAGGGTGAGAGGTATAATGTCCTGGAAGCCCTGCGTGTCCTGGAGGGGTGGGCTGTGTCCAGCCAGCCACCCCTGGGTCAGCCCCGGGTGCTCTGTGCAGGTGGATAAATCAGTTCCGGAGCCTGCGGATGAGGTGCCCACCCCAGGTGACGGGATCCTGGAGCACGACCCGTTCTTCTGCCCACCCACCGAGGCCACAGCTCGGGACTTCCTGGCGGATGCCCTGGTCACCTTGCTGGTGCCTCTGCTGGTGGCCCTGCTGCTCACGCTGCTGCTGGCCTATATCATGTGCTGCCGGCGGGAGGGACGGTGAGCGTGGGGTCGGAGGGCAGGGAGGGCACCGGCGGGACTTGTGCTACCTGGGGACAGACCCCTCAGGGAGAGGGCCCTCAGCCTGGAAAGGCGTGTGGGCCCCTTTCCCGGGCAGCTCGGGGCCTGGTGCTGGGGGAGGTTGTGGGTGACTGTACACACCCCAGACCCGGGGGGTAGCAGCCAGACTGGGGCTGACTCTCCCTCCTTTTCCGCAGGCTGAAGAGAGACCTGGCCACCTCTGAGTGAGTAGAGGAAGCTAGGGGCTGGGTGGGAGTCCCGCTAGTGGGTCAAGCTGGATCGCCCAGCCTCCATGAGCAGCACAGATGAACCCAGTTCCCTCCCGAGAAGGGAGCCGCCCTGACCTCTGGGCTGGCTGCGTGCTAGCCTGACCTTGCCTGGCTGTGCCATTACGGTTTGGTCTCCATAGAAGGGCCAGCTGTGGGGCCCAGCAGGTGGCATAATGGTTACATTGCTGGACGTCCACATAGTTGACTGTGGTTCAAATCCCAGATCTGATGGCTTAAAACTCACACTGGGCATGTGCGTGTGTGTGCGCAAGATCCCAAGAGGAGAATGGAGAAGGGATCGCAGCGTGGCCATCCCCCCTAGGGGGTGATTTCTCGCTTTCTGTCTCTCTGGTGAGCACACACCCCCTATAGCAAAAAATCTCTCTGAAAAACAAAACAGAAAAAAAGAAGGACCTGCTGTGGCATAAGGGGAGGGCGCACTGCTGCCCCTCCAGGGAAACGAACCTGAGAAGCAACCAGAGGCCCCTCTCGGTGTACACCCCCCCCCCCCCAAGAATAAGAAGTCGCATAATTGAGGCCAGCAAGTGGCATGATTGTTAAAGTGCTGGGCTCCCACATGGCCGACCATGGTTCAAGTCCTGGATCTAGAAGCTTGAAACTCTTGCAGGATACATGTGTATGCATGCCCAAAGTCCCAGGAGGAGAAGGGATTGTGGTGTGGCCATCCTCCCAGGAGATGAGTTCTCGCTTTCCCTCTCACTCTCTCTTTCTGGTAAATGCGTGCGCCCTATGGCAAAAACCTTATAACATTTTTTTTAAAAGGTCACATACTGGGACCAGCAGTTAGCATAATGGCTATGTCGCTGGACTCCCATGTAGTCGATCGCGGTTCGCGTCCCGGACTCGGTGGCTTAAAACTCATGCCGGGTTGGAACCAGCAGTTAGCGTAATGGCTATGTCGCTGGACTCCCACGTAGTCGACCGTGGTTCGAGTCCCAGACCTGGCGGCTTAAAACTCACGCCGGGGGCGTATGTGTGCGTGCCCAAGATCCCAAGAGGAGAATGGAGGAGAAGGGATTGCGGCGTGACCATCCCCCCTGGGGGGTGATTTCTCCCTTCCTGTCTCTCTGTCTGTCTGTCTGGCGAGCGCACGCGCCCTATAGCAAAAAAAAAAAAAAAAAAAGGTCACATACTTCCTCCATTACCCTCTGGCTCAGGTTCCCCACCTGAGGTGGTGAGGTTGGACTAGCTGATGTCTGTGAGTGAGTGAATCCTGCCAGCGCTTCCAACCCCTCACACTCTTATTTTGCCCAGCTGCCCCCTACCCATGGCTTCACTCTCCTCTGTACCCTCTCCCTTTCCCACCTCCTAAACCACAGACTCTAGGAGGCAGGAGTGAAATTACTTAGGCCCCTTTTATTTTCAGTGCACTGAGCCTGCGGAGGGCCTGGCACCCCTACCCAGTGGCCTGGCCTGCCTCATTAACTGTGGTGGCTTTTGGCCCCCCTGCGGACCCCCTTGAAGAGCTGCTTATGCCCCTGTCTGGAGCCCAGTAGCGACCCGTGCTGCCCAGGCTGTCGCTGCCGCCGCCGCTGTCTCTTGGCCTTGAGGTTGGTCTTGGAGGCCCGCTTCTTGCCCAGGCGGAAGGAGCCTAAGGCCCCCTTGCCAGTCACCTGCTTGAGCACGCCCTTGTCCACCAGCCTCTTGAGCACTTGCTTGAAGCGCCAGGCGTTGCGGGACATGTCGTAGCCCGTGGCGATGACAGCCTTCTTCAGGGTGGCCAGAGATATGCGGTCGTGTGCCGCCTTGTCTGCCATCGCCCTCAGGATCACCTTGGACATGCTGGGCTTCCGGTGGGCTTTGGGACGGGGGCGGAGCGCAGTCTCACTGTTGCCGGGGACCCCCGATGCGCTGGCCTGCTGGCTCTCGTTCATGGCAGCCTTCGAGGCCGAGGGTGCAAGTGGGGGCACTAGTACAGAGTCTTTCTGCATCTCTCCCTGGGGTGAGCGAAGGGAGCTGGGTGTGAGGACCTCCAGGGTGGCAGCTGAGGCGCCCCTGGGCTGCTCCTCAGTGGGTAGGGAGGTGCGTCCCAGCTCCTGGTTCCCTCAGAAGCTTCTTTGTAGGACTCCAGCCCACACCTTCCCCTGCGTGGCCAGAGGGAGGACCAAGGGTGATCGCTCACGCCTGGCCTCAGCAGACTGGTGTGTGGGTGCAGAGGGTGGCAAGGTTATCTCTGTGGTAACCTCAGGGGCACATTGTGAGGCTACCAGAATCCTGCAGGGGTCACAGTGGGCTCATTGTTCCCTCCTGAGAGGGTGCGGCAGGAGGTGCCAGCTGAGGAGGGCACCTGACCTGCCAGGTGCCCTGCGGAGGAGGGCTGTGGCTGTGTGGGCCAGATGTGTGGGCTCATACGGTGTGTGCACATGTGTGTCTGCACAAGCTTGAGCCAACGTCAGGGTGCTCTGAGACCCCAGTTTCAAACCCATTGTTTTGACACCCTCCCCCCAACCCCGTCTCCACCCACTGGGTCTTTGAGCCTCTATATCAAAGAGTACAAACTTTTTTCTTTCTTTCTTTCTTTTTTTGGGGGGAGGTTTTTGCTATAGGGTGCGTGCGCTTGCCAGAAAGATAGAGACAGAGAGACATAGAGACAGAAAGCGAGAAATCACCCCCCGCCCCCCAGAGGGGATGGCCATGCCACAATCCCTTCTCCTCCATTCTCCTCTCAGGATCTTGAGCACGCACACATGTGCACCCAACGTGAGTTTAAGCTACTGAGTTCGGGACTCAAACCGCAATCGACTACATAGGAGTCCAGCAACGTGGCCATTATGCCAACTTCTGGTTCTGAGGAGTACAAACTTTTAAACGTTGTAATTATACCAACATTTATGACTTTTTATGGGGAATATATTGTGTCATTGGAAAAGTTATGGTGCATTTTTGCCTAGAAAAACATAGAAAATGCGTCATGACTTTTCAGATGACCCAATATTTCCCAGAGTGAACAGAAATGAAATTCCTTGAACTGTACAAGCTCATTTAATTCCTTGAGCCACTTTCTATACAAGGGAGTTAAAAGGTTGGGGCCAGCAGGTGGCATGGTGGTTAAGGCACTGGACTCCCACATGGCTGACCGTGGTTTAAGTCCTGGACCTGGCGGCCTTCTCTCTCTCTCTCTCTCTCTCATGAGCACATGAGCCTTATCGCAAACTAAAAAATAATAACGATGAATAAAAGTAAATAAATGATTCTTTCAAAAAAAGTTAAAAGGCGCTTGCTTTTCTTGTCTTTCTTTGTTTCTCTCTTTCTTCCCAGAGAGTACTCGCAGAGATAGATGGGGAGAGAGAGAGAGAGAAAGCTCCCATTAATGGGTGTGGCCATGCCACGATCCCTTTTCCATTTCTCCATCCTGTCAGAATTTGGGGCATACAAGTACATGCACTGGAATGTTCTCAAGCAGCCAGGGCTAGGATTTGAGCTGCAGTCAGTCGTGGAACCTGGCTCCCTTAGCCATTAGGCTACAGAGTCCACCTACGCTGGTTTATTTCTTTCTATTTTCGTTTTATAGATGCTCCCCCATTGAGATCAATGGTTTTCCATGTAAATTTCACAAAGAGGATTTGATCCTTCAATTTTGGGGGGCCGTGCCACATTCGATTAATTACATCTACTGCCATTATGGATGCTTTTTGTACCGATATTCCTGTCATGTCTAGCTTTCCTGGGTCAATTCTGTAGTTCTGATGTCAGAAAGATCTGCTTCCTCCATCCATTTGGAATCGATAACCAATTTTACCCCTGTTTAATGTTGGTCTCTGTTTGCATTTTGTGTTGATTTCTTTTTTCTTTCTTTCTTTTTTCTTTTTTTTTGAGAAGTTTTCACTATAGGGCGTGTGCACTCGCCAGACAGACAGAGAGAGACATAGAGACAGAAAGCGAGAAATCACCCCCCAGAGGGGATGGTCACGCCACAATCCTTTCTCCTCCATTCTCCTCTCAGCATCTTGGGCACGCACGCACACGCGCCCGGCGTGAGTTTTAAGCCACCGGGTCGACTACGTGGGAGTCCAGTGACATAGCCATTATGCTAACTGCTGGTTCCCTTTTCTTCTTCTTTTCTTCGAGATTTTTGTTATAGGGTGCATGTGCTCACCGGAGAGACAGAGAAAGTTAGAGAGACAGCGAGAAATCACCCACCGAGGGGATGGCCACGCCGCAATCCCTTCTCCTCTCAGGATTTTGGGCATGCACGCACATGCTCCTGGCATGAGTTTCAAGCTACCAGGTCTGGGACTCAGACTGACCACGTGGGAGTCCAGTGCTTTAACCGCTGTGCCATCAGCTGGCCCCTGTGTTCATTTATTTCTACAAAATCCAATTTTTTCAATGTGTTCAGTGTCTGCCATTTTTCACGTTATCCACAAATTGTGATTCTGCTGGCTTTTTAATTTTTTAATTTGCTATAGGGCATATGTGCTCACATATGAGAGATGGGGAGAGAGAGAGAGAGAGAGAGAACGATAAAAATAGAAAGCACCCCCCCCCAGGGGGAATAACCACACCACAGTCCTTTCTCCTCCATCCTCCTCTTGAGATTGTGGGCCTGCACCAACCCAAGTCTAGCACATTTCTCAAGCCACCGGGCCCAGGACTTGAACTGCACAGTCAGCCATGTGGGATTTAGCTGCTTTGACCCCCATGCCACTGACTGACCTGCCTGTCTTTCACCTGCCACAGACTTCACTACTCACAAGGTCCTCCTCCAGGCCCCATGACTTTCCTGCGGGTGTGTGTGCCAGAATCCGTGGTTGGTGGGGAGGGTGTGGGTGAGCCCTGGGGCCGCATGTGTGTGCATGCGCATGGGAATGTGTGCCCACATGCGGATGTGGGAGGACTACGGAGGAGACACTGGAGGGTCTGGCTCTTGCTCTTGCTCTAGAAAAGCATCCCAGAGCATTTTTCACATGTGTGTTGCTGGAGCGACGAGACCGGGAGCGGAGCTGGGTGTGGGAAGGGGCCCAGCGTCTAGGCCCTGCCCCCACCGAGGGCACCATCGGCCTGGCTCTCTTGATCACGTCATCCACATACTTCTCCCTCTTTGTCTCTCCTTCTCCTCTTGCCTGGGAATGGAAACTGTATTTTGGACAATTCGGCTTGCGGAATTCCAGACTCAACAGCTTATCTTGACTGGCCCCTGGTCTTAGCTGGCGACCCACGTCTTCCTGTTGGCCAGGCAGGAGGTCTGACTCCTGGGCAGAGCGGGGTGGCCCACTCAGGCTGAAACCATTGTAGGAGGTCTTTCTTGTAGTGTAACTGCTCAGGTTCTGACTGGAGTCCATGCCCACCACATGAGACTTGGACGTGGGTGGGAATCACTTCCCCTCCTTGTTCTGACAAGGGGCCCAGTTCCTCTAAGAAAAGCAATGATGGGACCAGCAGATGGCGTAATGGTTACATTGCTGGACTCCCACTTAGCCCGGTTGGAGTCCCGGACCCAGTGGCTTAAACTCATGCTGGGCACGTGTACATGCATGCCCAAGATTCTGAGAGGAGAATGGAGGAGAAGAGATTGTGGTGTGGCTATTTCTTGCTTTCTGTCTCTCTGGTGAGCACATGTGCCCTATAGCAAAAATCTCTCCAAAAAAAAAAAAGAAAGAAAGAAGGAAAAAGAAAAGAAAACTGATTATTGAGCACAGTGGGTAAGCACCATGCTTAGGGAGCCAGATCCCAGGCAGACACAGTTCAGGTATCAGTCCCAGCAGATTAAAGAACATGGAGGGCACCGTGCGTGTGTGCTCAGGGTCCTCACAGGAGGGAGACGTGGGGGAAAAAGATTGTGGTGTGACCTCGCCCCACTGGAGGTCACTTTCTCTCTCTCTCCTCCTCTGGCAATTAAAAACACAAAAGAGGGGCCATAAGGTAGTGTAGTGGCTATGGTGCTGGACTCCCACGTGGTTGACTATGGTTTGAGTCCCAGACCCAGTGGCTTGAAACTCACACCATGTATACACGTGCCCAGAATCCGGAGAGGAGAATGGAGGAGAAGGAATTGCTCGTAGCCATCCTCCTTGGAGTGGTGGTGGTGGGGGTGATTTCTTGCTTTCTGTTTCTCTGTCTCTCTTTGTCCCTCTGGCCAGCACACATATCCTATAGTAAAAATCTATTAAAAACAAAAAAAAAGAAAAAGAAAAGAAAAGAAAGAAGGAAAGCCATTAAAAAAAGTTTATTTCTTCCATAAGTCACACACACACACACACACACACACACACACACACACTGAGACAGTACTCCTAAAAGGATCGTGGCATTGCACTCCCCACCAGCCCCAGTCAGCCATGGATCATGGGCACATACGCCTGGTGATCTAGGGGAGGTCTCTGAAACCTTCCCATGTGGGATGGCCTCACGTAGCACTGCCTTTTCCCACCGTGCCACTGTCCAGCTCCCAGAAAACCAATCCTTCCTGTTTATAACGAAGAATCCCTGCTTCGTCTGACCCTGTGACCAGGTAGTCTGGGCAAATGTCTCTGGGCTGGACCAACAGAATGGTTGGGTTTGGAAAGAGACTTGGGCACACCCTTCCACTGGCGGCCAAGTTCATTAGTAGGTAGCTTGTCATAAAATAACACCGAGGATAATCATCGTTACTGAACGCTCCTCGTGATAATAGCTACCACTTGCTGCAAGCTTACCAGGAGCTTAAATGCTTCTCCTCATTGAATTCATACAATAATCACTACAGTCAAGAGAACTGAGGCACAGAGAGGTTAAGTACTTTGCTCACAGTCACACAGCCTGCCAGCAATGGAAGTCAGGTTCAAACCCAAAGCAATCATTCATGCTCACCTGCCGTGCTACCCTGCCTGTCAGAAGGAACCAAAGCTTGCCCTGGGCAGCAGAAAGCAAGCCCAGGAGAATGTCCAATGAGAAAAGGCTCTGCCCCTTGAGGAGGAGCTCAAGCTCGAGCTCAGGAAGGACGGTGCTGCTGGGATTTCCAGCCCCTGCAGAGTGTACAGCAGTGTCAGGCTTCAAAGAGCCCCGATGGGTAAAGGAGACAGGGAGGGAGACTGTGTTGGGGGCAGGCTAGGAGGGGCTGGGAGGGAGTCTGGGTACCAGGAGCAGAGGGTGACCCGAGAAGCCGTGAGCTGAGATGCCTATGCCTGGCAGGACGTGGGAGGGGTGTTTCTGGGACAGGACACAGCTCAGGCAAAGGCTAGGAAGTTAGAAAAGATCAAGGGAAAGCTAGGCTTGCCAGACCAACACAGGGCTGGGGAGGGCTGGGGGAGGGGACTGAGTGCTGGAAGGGACCAGGAGGCTCATTTGGAATGTACGAAGGCAGAACCTCAAGCCCAGCAGCGCTGGCCTCTGGGAGTCCGTATCCAAGTCCCGTATCGTGTGCGTACCATGTTCTGGAACCGTGTAAACACCAGCCACATTCTCTTGATTCATCTTCACAGCGCTCCCAGGAAGTAGGTATTTCTATCTTCATTTTGCAGTTGAGAAAACTGAGGCCCAGAGTGGTTAACCAACCGGCCAAGGACACACAGCTCCGGATCCAAGCTGCCCGCACCCAGAGCCCATCCTCAGTCACTGGGCATTGTGCAGGCACCAGAGAACTTCCTGTTTGTCCCCCCACCTGCATCATGTGTTGGAGCCCCCCTCCCCCAGAAGTGGTAGGGGAGATTATGGGGTGACTCAGAGGAAGTGCCAGGCTGGACCCATGGTGGGGGGGCTGGTTCCTAGAGCTGACGATGCCCTGGTTCTGCCCCCAGCATCCAGATGGTCCACCACTGCACCATCCACGGGAACACGGAGGAGCTGCGGCAGATGGCGGCCAGCCGCGAGGTGCCCCGGCCGCTCTCCACCTTGCCCATGTTCAACGTGCGCACAGGCGAGCGGCTGCCTCCCCGCGTGGACAGCGCCCAGGTGCCCCTCACCCTGGACCAGCACTGAGGGCCCTGCCAGGTGGGTCTGGCTGGCCATGCCGCCTCACTTCCGGGAACCAAGTGGCTTCTGGCTCAAGTCCGGGGCAGTGGTAGGGTGCGAGGGAGGTCAGGGGAAGGGGTACGTGGACCTACCCGGCCTGCTGAAGTGGCTGGGCGGGGGTGTCTGGGGGTGCCAGGGCTGTGCCAGTGTAGGGCAAGGGGCTTGGGATGGGGAGGCAGGAGAACCAGGGTCTGGCCCTCTCAGCCCTCCACTGTCTCCCCTGTGCTGTTCCAGTCCCCTGGCCTCAGCCTCCCTTCTCTCTCTCCACTCAGAGAGCAGCTGCAACCCAGGCCACGGCTCGCCTGCTGATTCGGCTCCGGCTCCGGCTCCAGCTCCGGCCCCACTGGCCCCAGGCTCTGAATAGGCAGAGAGATGGGGCGCAGTGGGGTGAGGGTGTCGCTGTCAGGACCCACAGAATAAATGTGCGCTGCTCTGAATAAATACATCGCCACCAGTGCTTCCCTCTCTGCAGCCGTCTGCAGTCCTTGCTGCCAGGGGCTTGCCCTCTGGACTCTTGGCACTCTGCGGGTTTCTCACATCCTCTGGGAGAGAGAAAGCCCTGCCGTGGGCAGCCTTGCATGAACCCAAACACGAGGGCTTACTACTGGGTTCTTATACCCGTGTTATAGACCGGGAAACTGAGGCCTGGGGAGAGTAAGTGACTTGCTCCAGGTCACCGAGCAAGCAAGTGGCAGAGCGTGGATTCCAATCTGGCACGTTTGCCTCGTTCTGGAGGGCTGCGGGAGTCTGGAAACCGGAGAGCTAGGCTTTCTCCTTGAGATTTAATAGTTGGCCCTTGTTAAGATCCCCAGGGGAGTCCCTTTGTGTGTCATGTTGGGAGAGACGCCAGCCTAGGTATGGAGGAACACAGGCTGGAGCGAGGCCGGGTGCCCTGGGCTCAGGGCACTCTCCGGCTGGCTCCTCCAGAGATAGGCAGAGGGCAGCCCAGAACCCTTGTTGAGCTAAGTGTCACCAGCGTGGCTTGAACCCATGTGAGCGCCGGAGAGTCCAGGTGTCTGCAAAGAGGCCTGCACTAGTTTTTCGTAGGTGGCTACCCCACAGCTGGCCGTCCCTGCCCCCACTCACTGCCATCCCGAGCCGCACCCAGCTTCACTTTTCACCCTGCCCCTGCAAGGACAGTCAGAGACTCAGCCCGAGAGGGGCCCAGGTAATGAGGGGGTGCAGAGGAGCGAGGGGCCCAGCCCCAGGCTCTTCTCCAGGTGCTAACTCCAAGGGGATCCAAGGGAGGGCCAGGTTCCCACCGCCCTGGGCCTCTTTATCCCTTTCCTCTGCTGGGAACCCCGCCCCCATCCACATAGCTCCGCCCTCACTGCAGTCTTCGCTTCTGCGCATCCGAGAGGACTTTCCCGCTCTGTAGGGCCTCCTGTCTGAGAGCCCCTGCTCTGTGTGGGCTCACCGGCACTAGGGCGTGGGCTTCTGTCCAACCCCTGCAGCTGTGGTGTGTGTACACGACGGCACTCAGGAATAACGAAGGGAAGGCTGCAGGGACACCAGCAGGTCTGGGTTTGCTCCGAGGTTTCTGTTGTTGTTTTTCACTTTTGTTTTTGTTTTGTTTTGTTCTAAGGCAGGTATGCTCACCAGAAAGAGAGAAATCACCCCCTAGCGAGGATGGCCATGCTGCAATCCCTTCTCCTTCATTCTACTCTTGGGATTTTGAGCATGCCTGCATGTACCTGCACCTGGCATGTTTTTCAAGCTGCTGGGTCCAGGACTTGAACCGAGCAGTCAACCATGTGGGAGCCAGCTACCTCCATGCCACCCGCTGGGCCACTCAGTTCTGAAGCCGGTTGCCTCTTCTTTCTGGGGGTGAGCAAGGCCGTTGGTAAAGTGTCTACAGTTACCTTCCAGTCCTCTGCTCCCTGCGGGGCATCCCAGCCCCATTAGTGAGTCAGTCATCAAACCTGGATGCTGTAAGCTTTACTGCGGCAGGCAGAGGCACTGGGCTGGCACAGCACACGTGTTCAACTAACATTTGTTGAATGAATGGGACTGCCTGGAGGAGCTCGTGTTTCACCACCATGCCATCTGTGCCCTCTCCCCCAAGTGGGTTATTTGACTACAGGGTGCCTGTGGTTTCTTATTCACACCTCCTCTTTCTCCTGATTCCAGAAGTGCACAGAATCTGCTCAGAGAGGAGGCTCGGAGCAGCCCGCCAGGGTCTGGGGGTCTGGGGGGTTTGGGGTGGCTCTTCCTCCATCCCTGCCTCCTGGAGGAGGGGGCTGCCCTGTCTCAGTCTTTGAGCTCAGGTCCCTGCTACCAGACTGACCTTGGGCCTCCACCGTGCCCTTCCTGTGCCGGCCAGGAGGCGGGTGCAGGACACTTCCTTTCCTCTGCTGCCCAGCCTGGCCTCGGGGCCTTGGCAGCTCCTTCCTCCCTGCTCAGCTCCCAGCAGCACACGGGAGCCTGGCCGCTGGCCTGAGAGGAAGCAGCCTAGACAAGTAGCTGGGAGGATGGTGTGACTGCAAAGGACACTGAGCCATGCCTGGACAAGCACACACACACACCCGCGCGCACACGCGCACGTGTCCAGCTGCCCGGCAGCACGCTCAGTGCCCCTCTGCTCACTGAAGGGCAAGATTCCAGCCAGAAGGCACCCCAGTTTCCCTGCAAATAGCACGAAGAGCAGCCATCTGCTGTCCCACCCCCACCCTGAGACAGCCCACATTGCTCCACCCTGTGTGCTCCAGTCCCGCTGATGGCACTGCCTGCGTGGCCTGGAGTGTGGCCTCACCCCACCTAGACACACCCTGGCCCGACTCCCAGACACCTCCTCACCACCGCTCACAGGCTGGGACTGGGGACATGGCACCACCGACAGCAGGCCCTGGCCCCGAGACGCGCGCTTTCCAGAGCACGACTGGCGTCATGGCTCTGCCACAGGAGCCGACAGCCAGCTCAGGACAGGGCTCTCACAACCTCCTTGGGGCGGCTGGGAGAATTCATGAGGAGTCAGCCCTCCCGGAGCTCCTGAGAACGGGGACATGAAGACCTACAAGCCCCCATAGAGCCCCCCAAGGCTAGAGGTCCTGGGGACTCCCTGTCCCTGAGATCCAGGCTAAACAGGGTCCATTTCCATCTGTACCTCAGGAGAAGCTCAGTCTCTTCCTGTGAACTTAGGGTGGTGGCTGAAATTTGAGGAGTCTTGGGCCTGGACCTCCTGCTAGGGCTGCACCGCCTTCTACAGCAGCAACTGGCCGCACAGGGCCCCTCGAAATGCAGCCAGTCCCAATCGAGATGTGCCCCAGTGTCATGACAAAATGGTAATATTTCAGGATATAATAGTTCAACAGATTACTAAACTTAAGGGCCAGCAGGTGTCACAGTGGTTGAGGCACTGGATCCCATATGGCTGTTTTCATGGTTCAAGTTCTGGACCCAGGAGTTTGAAAACCATGCCGAGCGCATGTGTGTGTGTGCTCAAAATCCTGAGAGGGGGCTGGAGAAGGGCTGCAGTGTGGCCACCCCCCGGGTGGATGGTCTCTTACTTTCCCTCTCTCTGTCTTGTCTGGTGAGTGCACACTCCCTATAGCAAAAACTCAAAGTAAATCAACTTAATTTTACCACTTTCCTTTAATTTATTTTTTATTGCCACAGAGTGTGTGATCTTCTCAGAGAGAGGAATCTCCCCCGTCCCCCGGAGGCAGGTCATGTCACAATCCTTCTTACCCATTTCCCCATGAAAACTCCCGTCAGGATTTTGGGCATGCACACACACTTGCTCACATGCACGCACACAAACCGGGAGTGGATTTGAAGCCACCAGGGCTCAGACTCAAACTGCGGTTGGCCATGTAGGATTTGCTCCCAATGCACAGAGCTTACCCACTGTGCTACGAGGCCAGACCTTTTTTCTTTTTTTCCCCAAATAGCCAGGGACCAGCACATAACATAATGGTTTACATCGCTAGACTCCCACATAGTTGACCACGGTTTGAGCCCCAGACCTGGTGACTTAAAATTCATGCTTGGGTGCGTGTGCATGTGTGACCAAAATCCCAAGAGGAGAATGGAGGAGAAGGGATGGCCACATTGCCATCCCCTCTAAGGGGTGATTTCTCACTTTCTGTCTCCTCTGTCTTTCTGGCGAGCGCATACGTCCTATAGCAAAAAAATCCCTCTGGAAGAAAAAAAAAAAGGAAAGCCAAAGGCTGCTAGGACATGAGGAACTGCTACGTGGTCATCACATCTCTATTGGGCAGTGCTAGTTTCGGGCTTTCTATGGCAGACTTTCCCTGTAGCGCCTTTCCCCGCTGTGGCACGGAACACCTGTCAGCCGGCCTCAGCGCACGCATCAGAGAAGCCCAAGGAACTTCCCCCACGGCAGTGAGCTCACCTAGAACTCGATTTGTGGTCTGGTTGTTCTGCAATGCGCCTTGGTCCCTGCGACGGCTCTACCTTCCTCTTCTCTACCCTTTTGCAAACTCAGCAACCCCGTTCCCCAGTTCCTCCCACTGCCTCATGCAGAGAAGAGCCCACTTTTCCTGGTACTGGCGTGCTCTACTCTGCCCCTACCCCCAGCCTGGCCTTGCACACCCTCTGTGTAAAGGCCTGTCACTCGCCTAGACAAGGGTCTTGTCTTATGGCCCACTGACCAGCCCTCAACCCGACTCAGTAACCTCTGGAGCCTACACGCAGTACGGGGACAGGGAGTCAGCCTCTCACTGGCACCAGGGTTCCTGCGGGCTCTGGGTCTTGGGGATGGTGGCCTCCCGCCCTCACCCTCCTGGCCCCTCCGTGGCCCCCTGCCATGCCCGTGCATACACGTGGCCCAGTGCCCACAGCCATGCATTCTCAGGGGTCACGTAGCGTCTCTCCCACGGCCCGTCACCACCCCCATCTCACACACACGTACACACATGCACAGGGTCCCCATGAGCACAGACACAATTGTTCTTAGGTGGGTGAGCTCAGAGTGGGACATTCCCCTCCTGAGGTACCACCAAGGGACCTGCACAGAGACCACCCAGGGCACCCCCTCACTTGCTCACGTGCCACCACTCCTGTGGGTACCGGCTTTGTGAGCAGCCCCACATTCTCATACACACACACTTGTCCCCCCCACTCACTCCAGCATGTGCCATCGCCACCTCTCCCCTCCTCCACCTCACCCAGCTCTGTCTGTCCAGGGACGTCTTGGAGGCACCTGGGAAGCTGAAGGTTAAGAAGCTAGGGGAAAAAGGAGGAAAACACACTGCATTCCGGTTCTAGGAGGTTCCCCCAGGAGATGGGCTCAGGCCCTAGATGTCCCAGGATTCCGAGAGAGCAGCAGAAGTGAAAATCCAAATGAGACTTCTTTTTCTACAATTTTCCTGGATTTGATTGAAAAATCAGCCACAGGAACATGGTTCTCCTAGAGAAGACAAAGGTGAGTCTCACAAAGCAGTGCTGGGGACAGCAGGTCAGTCCCGCCGCACAGGGGGTGGCGAGGGTCTCAGGGAGCGGGCCTGGGCAGCTGTATTTAGGGCAGCTGTGACGTCAGCGGAAAGGAGGGTTTGAGTTGGGAATGTGGCACAATGGCCCCTTTGTCCCCCTCCCCTCCTGTCCTGCGCACGCACTGCAACCACACACTGGCCCCATGCCACGTAACACAGACACAGAGCTGCACAGTGGAGCACAGCTACACACAGCCTGCCACCACGATAGCTCTTCACATGGTGCATGTGTCCACATACATGCACATGCATGTACACACATACACACACCTGGGTGTAGGTTTGCACATATGTAGGGAGAGACGTAGCCACCCCTTTGCACCTTTGCCAGTGCAGCAGACGCTAAGCCACACGCAGCTAGTAAGAGCAATCACAACGAAACAAAGGGCAGAAGTGCCTTCCTCGGTTGCACTTGCCACATTGCAAGTGGTCGGGTGCTCGGAGTGGCTAGCGGCCACCGTAGTGGACAGCACAGGACTTGTTCGTCAAGGAGAAAGCGCTGGCTGGAGCCTTCTGCTGCCGTGTGACGCCTGCAGGACTGGTCTTCACTTGCTCGCGCCTGTGCACAGCTCCACACTCTCACCTAAAGGACGGCCCCTCTAGCTTACCTCTTCTCTCCTTCCTCACCCCTCAGCTGCACCCCAGTGGCCTCTGGCCTGGAGGCAATCACAGGGTGAAGACATGATAGCACAGACATGACAACAATCTCCGGGATGGAGAGCTGGGGCGAGTTTGCAGACTTGGGGCGCTTTGGCAACTCAGAGCTGGTTCAGTGGCCTAGGTGAGGCAGGGAAATGGAGAGACGATGAGACTTTCAGACTTTTGAGTGTGGCTTGGAGGGTGGGCGGTTGAGCAAGCAGAGAAAAGGGATGTCATTTTAGGCACAGGAAGAAGCATTTTAAAAGGTCTGAGCCCAGAGAGGTGGCACAGTGCACAGTGTGCAGGACTGTAGTATTGGAAGCCCCATGTCTGTACACCGGTTCAAATCCACAGGTCGGTCTGCAAACACACCAGGAGTGCGTGTGGGTGCCCAGGACCCTAGGGAGTTGGAGGGCGGGGGCAGGGGCTATCACAGTGTGATGAGACTTATTGAGGGTGCCCCTCTCCCTCATGCTTGCACTCGCTATCCTAAAATAAAACGACCTGGGAACAGCACGTGTGGCACATGTGTGGGAGCTGCAGCGTCCCTTTTGGCTGGTGTGACAGATACAGTGACGGGAGGGGACATGAGCTTAGGTGCACAGTGGTCAGGCAGAGCCTTGGATGCTGGGTTCGGGAAACTTCTAGATCCTCCACGGGGACAGATGGAGGTGGGGCCTGAACAGCAAGGGCCGGAGGTCCAGGCAGATGGAGGTTACCTGGACAGTCTCCCAGGTAGACATCACCAATCAGTCAATGCACTGAGTGACGGCTCAGCGGGCACCACGGCACTGTGGGTAACTCGTTTAGGAATGAGTCTTTGTTAATATGCCGTGAGGTTCCAGCCTCTGGAGACCAAGTCCCTGTCTACACGTCCTTGTTGTGGCGGCTCTAACGATGGGTTGTGAAAGGCCATAATTAATAGCCATGAATACGTAATGACAGCCATACTACCAGCGCTGCCCACAGACGGCCTCTGCCCACGCGGGCCTCTCCTTCCCTGGAGGTTTCGGCCCTGAGATCTGGGTGGGAGGGGTGATGGCTGTCATCTCCCTGTCTTCGGGTCTCTGGGTAGCCGTGTCATTCCAGGCTTCCGACTCTGGAATTCCTGTTCCCCACTGGCCACACACAGCTGCCCCCATTCCCTGAGACTGTCGCCTTTCCTCTGGGGCTCGGGGTTCTTAGGCAGGTAGGGCATGGCAGGGGGCAGGTGAAGGGTGAAGGAAAACAGAAGAGAGGAAGAAGGCAAGGAGGAGGCAAGAATTTGGGGGAGGGGAAAGGAGAAGGAAAAGGAATGGCAGGAAGTAGGGGTTCCCCAGGCCACCTAGCACCCCAGCGGTCTCATGTCCTGGTGATTCAGAAGGCCCAGAGGGGCCCAGGCCTGGGCTTCTGTCCTTCCAGGTAGTGGAAGGCCGCTGAGGCCTCCCCCATGCCTGGGGTTCCTGCTCTCTTGCTCCCCTGCCCCCAGCTCAGCAGACCCCTCCTGCTGTCCTCCCAGGGCATCTTGGGAAGGGAAGAGGAGGAGACAAGGTCAGATAGTCGCCATGTTTGTTTGCAGGGAGAGAGGCCTTACTCAGAGGCTCCCAGGTCCTCATCGCCAGTTCGTGCTCCTCACCCTCCCAAAGCCACACGCAATTCCAACAGCCCCCCAGCCCTGCAGGGTGCCCAAGGCAGTGGGGAGATGATGGTGCTGATGGGGGAGGGGCACATGGTGTGGGCGACCCAGGACGGGGATGGCGCACGTGTGTGTGGGGTGCGGGTATGGCACTGCCGCGGAGAAGAGGGTTTGGAAGAACTGCAAGGACTGCAAGAGAGAGGAAAATAAGAGGAAAGAAAAACGTCGAAGGCATAAGAAAGGCCAGGGGACAGCGAAGGGGCTGGGGGGACAGAGGAGAGGGGGAGGGGAGAAAGGGCAGGCAAGGGGGGCGAGCCCACCCACCCCGGAGCCGCCTCCCCAGTCCCCCTCCACTGACTCCAACCACTGACTCCAAGGAAGGAAATTAGGAGGCCACTGCAGGTATGTTTGGGTCATTTCCACATGCTTTATTCCAGCAATCAAAATAATTAAAAACATCTCAAATTATTATACACATACAAAATAGGTACAGAGTCTCTTGCTTCCTCCCACCCCTGGGGGGAAAAACTGCTTTGTGCTTTGGGAAGTTGTGCTCTGAAACCCGAGAGAGGAGGAGAGAGGAGGCGAGAGAGGAGGCAGGACTGACCAGGAGAGAGGCCGAGGCCAGGAGGATGGGATGCAGAGGCGGGGGGGGGGGGGGTTGGGGGAGAGAGGTTAGAGAGGAGGGCAGAAGCCAGAGGTGGGTGGAGAGAGTGGAGACGGAGCAGGCAGGCTGGCGCGAGGCACTCTCTCCCCTCATGTTAAATAGCACCTTTAGAAACTTCACATGAGTCCCCATCCGTGGAAAGAATTAAAGAAAGAAAGAAAGAAAGAAAAAAAAAAAAACAAAGAATAAAAAAAAAGACTGTGAACAAAAGGAACATTTGCTGGCCTGGGGGGGCATGTCAAGTTCTATAGCACCAGTGACCCCCCTCCCTGCCCTGCCCCGTCACAGAGATGTCACACCGTTGATATAAAACGGGGAGCCCTTCCACCCTGCCCCCATCCCCACCCCCACGCAGTTGCCCCGGTGACACATGAAGACAAGAACGAGGTAGTCTTTCAGCAACACAATTACACAAGGAACAGAACAATCTCTCCCACCCAACCCTGTGCACGGGGGGTTGACACGCTTTCCCCAAATCCGATGTTTCGGCTCTGTCGTGGCCCTTCCTGACTCTCCTCCAAACCCGTTGAGGGACCAGTGATGCCCCTGGCATGGACCCCTCAAAAACGAAGAGGGGTCTGTCGCAGGGGTCACGTGGATGCCAGGTGGTAAGGCTTCTTTGGCAGTCTGAACACCTCAGGTCCCCCAGGGTCTGGGAGCCGTGGGTGGGAGGAGCTGGGCTGAGGGGTGCGGGCCACTTGGGTTTTAGCATTGCCTTTGGTTGCTAGGCAGACAATGCATTGTTTCCTGTGCCTTTTGGGGAGACTTAGATTTGGGGAGCAATGGAGGGGAGGCCCCGAAGGGGGTGGAGAAAAGAGCAGAAAGGACAGCATTGGGGTATCATAAGCCCAACGGGCAGAAAAGGACTTACCCCCACTGGGTCTTCAAGCAAGTGGACCAAGCTTCCTTTTTTACAAAGTTATTTATTTATTCTTTTTTTTTTTTTTTTCTTTGGTAAGGTTGAATGCACTTTTGGTTTTTGGTCATGTTCAGTTGGTCAAAGATAAAAACTAAGTTTGAGAGATGAATGCAAAGGAAAAAAAAAATTTCCAAAGTCCATGTGAAATTGTCTCCCATTTTTTGGCTTTTTGGGGGGTTCAGTTTTGCTTGTTTGTCTGGTTTCCAGGGTGGGGGGCACGTGGGTGGGGTGGGCGGGAGCCAGGTCGGGGTGGAGGGAGTTTACAGGAAGCAGACAGAGCCAACGTCGAAGCCGAATTCCTGGTCTGGGGCGCCGATGTCCAAGGGGGCCACGTCGATGATGGGCAAGCGGGAGGTCTTGGTGGTTTTGTATTCGATCACAGTCTTGCCCCAGGCTCCGGTGTGACTCTGGGGTGAAGGGAGACGATGAGAGAGGGGTGTTACCAAGTGGGAATGATGGGGCACTGCGGCCTGCCAAAAGAGCCCCAGCCTGGAGAGCCGGTGGCCCCACTGGGCCCTCGGGGACTCACCGTGCAGCCGTCGGTGGTGACACTGTAGGTGAAGCGGCTGTTGCCCTCGGCCCGGATCTCGATCTCGTTGGAGCCCTGGAGGAGCAGGGCTTTCTTGAGGTTGCCAGTCTGCTGGTCCATGTAGGCCACGCTGTTCTTGCAGTGGTAGGTGATGTTCTGGGAGGCCTCGGTGGACATCAGGCGCAGGAAGGTCAGCTGGATGGCCACATCGGCGGGGTCGGAGTCACTCGAACTGCAGGGGAAAGAGGAGAAGAGTGAGGAGCGCGTGACTGTGCCAACGCCCCAGGCCCTGCCTGAGTCTGAGAGCATCCCTGGGATCCCTGACAGTGGGAGAGCATCTCTTGCTTGTGGGCGCCATGTCTGAGCCAGTACCGAGGACCCAGGACTCCTTTCCCCAGCCCGGCTCCGTCCATTACACTGAGCAGAGGGCTAGCCCATTTCCTGAGATGGCTCTAGGGTCCAGCTCACGCACCTGGAATCCGTGGGTCATGCTCTCGCCGAACCAGACGTGCCTCTTGTCCTTGTTCTTGCTGACGTACCAGTTCTTCTTGGCCACGCTGGGCTGGGTGGGGTACACGCAGGTCTCGCCTGTCTCCATGTTGCAGAAGACCTTGATGGCGTCTAGGTTGCAGCCTTGGTTGGGGTCAATCCAGTATTCTCCTGTGGTGGAGAAGGGCGAGGTGGCGTCAGGGGAGGGGGGCACAAGGGCTTAGAGACACCGTCTGGCCTGAGTGGGAGGAGGGGGCGGCCAGGGGAGGCCCTCACCGCCCTGCCAGTCGGGGTGGCACATCTTGAGGTCACGGCAGGTGCGGGCTTGGTTCTTGCGGCTGCCCTCGGGGCTCCGGATGTTCTCGATCTGCTGGCTCAGGCTCTTGAGGGTGGTGTCCACCTCGAGGTCACGGTCACGGACCACGTTGGCGTCGTCGGCCCGGTAGTAGCGGCCACCATCCTGAGCTTTCTCTTGAGGTGGCTGGGGCAAGAAGCTGAAGTCGAAACCCCCGCTGGGAGGGCCAGGGGGACCAGGAGGGCCAGGAGGGCCAGGGGGACCCTGTGCAGAGAGGGAGAGCAGAGATTACCGGTGTCCAAGTGCCCTTCGGGCTGGGGGTCCAGAAGGCCTGGAGAGTGAGGGCTACTTACAACAGGACCAGCATCACCAGTGCGACCACGAGGACCAGGTGGACCAATGGGGCCTGGGAGACCGTTGAGTCCATCTTTGCCGGGACTACCAGCAGAGCCAGGGGGACCCTGGAAGGGAGAGATGGTTAGAGAAGTCCCAAGACAACTCGAACTCCAGCAGACAAGCTCCCCACCCGCCTGCTGGCTCAGAGCCACCTCCCCGAGATGCCTCCTCCCTGAGACATGTCATTGCTCATTCCTGTTGCTGAGCAAGAATCGTGGTGTGGCAGGAAGGCGCAGGGAGTGGGGAGGCCGAGGGCGGGTAACATTGTCTGCCTGGGACTCTTCCTCCCTTCTCTACTCTTGTCCCAGAAGCCTTCTTCAGAGAATGGGGGACGCCCAGGTCCCAGGCAAAGGGCCTAGGTAAGCCTGGGCTGGGCATGCAGGTGGAGGAGGAGGAAGGAGAGATGACTTACTCGGGGACCAGCAGGACCAGAAGCTCCAGAGGGGCCTTGTTCACCAGGAGAGCCCTGAAGGACAGAGGCAAAGGCAATTCAGGGCCAGCGTGGTCAGATGCAGCCAGCGGGGCTGGCTAGGGAGATGCAGAGCAGCATGGGCAACCCGCATCCCTTGTTATTCTATGACGCTAGCCCCAGGGTGTCCGGAGGCTGAGACCCCTCTCACAATCCCTTTCTGAGACCCCTCTCACAATCCCTTTCTGTAGCATCTCTCAACCCTCAGAAGCTACTGGGGAATGCAGTAAATCTTCAGACCCAAGACCCCACTAGGGAAGAGTCAGAAAGATTATCCAGAGGGGGAAACTGAGGCAAAGTGCTCCTCCCCCACCGTCACTCGGCACAGAAGACAATGGCACCAGGGCGGGGAGGGCTGAGCATACTCACAGGAGGGCCAGGGGGACCTTGCAGACCGGAGAAGCCACGGTGACCCTTTATGCCTCTGTCGCCCTGTTCGCCTGTCTCGCCCTTGTCACCACGGGGGCCTTGGGGTCCCTAGAAGAGAGGAGGGGACAGGCCGTCAGGTGGAGGTTCTGTTGGGCTGAGTGGGGTGCACCCACATCTGGACAAGGGTTCTGAGGGCATGGGGGACAGAGCAGGACACTTACAGCGGGGCCACGGGCACCAACAGGGCCGATGGGGCCGGCAGGGCCAGCAGGACCCTGGAAAGAGCAGAGAGGGTGTGAGAGCCGGACAGAGAGGCTCAGGCTGCAGGACGACAGTGCCCCAGCCAGACCCCAATTTCCCACATCTTCCCATAGTCATGTCCCTCCCGACCCCTAGAGCCAGGCTTCATGAGAGCTAAGTGAACCCCTCGTTTGGTGGAAATGTGGTTCTCTCTGGGAGAGGGGCCTTGAGCCAGGCTTCATGAGAGCTAAGTGAACCCCTCGTTTGGTGGAAATGCGGTTCTCTCTGGGAGAGGGGCCTTGAGCCAGGCTTCATGAGAGCTAAGTGAACCCCTCGTTTGGTGGAAATGCGGTTCTCTCTGGGAGAGGGGCCTTGAGCCAGCACTGGGGCTGCTTTCTCAGGGAGACTGGGCCCGGCCATTTCATAAGACCTCCTCTTCTTGCTCTGCCTGGGAGGCCAGACGTCTACCCTGGTTCTCTATGCAGGCCCAGGGAGCCCCTGGCCAGACCAGAAGTGGGGAGCTGAGCCGAGCCCAGTCACTTACAGTCTCACCACGATCGCCATTCTTGCCAGCAGGGCCGGAGGGCATGGGGGACAGAGCAGGACACTTACAGCGGGGCCACGGGCACCAACAGGGCCGATGGGGCCGGCAGGGCCAGCAGGACCCTGGAAAGAGCAGAGAGGGTGTGAGAGCCGGACAGAGAGGCTCAGGCTGCAGGACGACAGTGCCCCAGCCAGACCCCAATTTCCCACATCTTCCCATAGTCATGTCCCTCCCGACCCCTAGAGCCAGGCTTCATGAGAGCTACAGACCCCCCTTTCCCACATGAAATGTGGTTCTCTCTGGGAGAGGGGCCTTGAGCCAGGCTTCATGAGAGCTAAGTGAACCCCTCGTTTGGTGGAAATGCGGTTCTCTCTGGGAGAGGGGCCTTGAGCCAGCACTGGGGCTGCTTTCTCAGGGAGACTGGGCCCGGCCATTTCATAAGACCTCCTCTTCTTGCTCTGCCTGGGAGGCCAGACGTCTACCCTGGTTCTCTATGCAGGCCCAGGGAGCCCCTGGCCAGACCAGAAGTGGGGAGCTGAGCCGAGCCCAGTCACTTACAGTCTCACCACGATCGCCATTCTTGCCAGCAGGGCCGACGGGGCCAGGGGCGCCGGGGGCACCAGGAGCACCAGGGGGTCCAGCAGGGCCAGTCTCACCACGGTCACCCTGGGAGGGAAGGGTAAGGGAAGGTGGTCAGTGCCAGCTGCAGGGAACAGCATGACGGGCGAGGCTGTGGCCTTGGGGTGTGCTGTCTTACCTTGGGGCCAGGAGAGCCATCTCTTCCAGGGGAGCCTTCAGCACCGGGAGATCCCTGGAGAGAGAGAGGAAAAGAGAGAGAGGTGAGAGCCAGCCGGGGAAGGACAGCTCAGGCCAAGGCCAAAATGTCATGCTGAGGGCACTGGCCCGGGGGCCGGGGACTGCGCACCTCACGTCCAGATTCACCAGGGGGTCCAGCCATTCCAGGGGGGCCCATGGGACCAGGGGGACCACGTTCTCCACTTGCTCCAGAAGGACCTTGTTTGCCAGGTTCGCCCTAAGGGGGAAGAAAGAGTCAGGCCACAGACAGGCTGGGGAGGGCTCCAGAGCACCCTGAAGTCATTGCTGTCAACCTTGTTGGCTCCACCACCCCCAGGGCACCCTCCAAGGCCCAAGTCCCTTGACAATCTTTCTTGGAGGGTCTCCCAAGATGAGAGGGGCACTTACAGAGGGGCCAGGAAGACCAGGGAAGCCTCTTTCTCCTCTCTGACCGGGCAGGCCAACCACACCACGCTGTCCAGCAATACCCTGAGGTCCAGGAGTACCGGGAGCACCCTAGGGAGGGAGACAGGGAATGAGGCGATGTGCAGGGCCATGGGGACCTCGGCCCAGCTCTGGGCAGCTCCAGAGCTCCAGAGCTCCGTGCCAGCACTTACAGCAGGTCCGTCAGCACCAGGGGATCCTTTCTCGCCAGCGGGGCCAGGGGGGCCAGGGGGACCAACTTCACCAGGACGTCCAGCAGGGCCAGTCTCACCACGGGGACCTTTGCCGCCTTCTTTGCCAGCAGGGCCAGGAGGGCCAGGGGGTCCAGCATTTCCCTGGGTGTGGAGAAGAGGGCCTGTCAGTCTCTAGTGAACACTGGAGTGTCAGTGAGGCTCAGCCGGGCTCGCCAACCTCCCGACAGCCTGTGCCCCTCCTTAGAGCAGCAGAACCCCGCGGATACTTACAGAGGGGCCAGGGGGACCAACGCGGCCAGCAGCACCAGGGAAACCAGTAGCACCCTGGGGGAAGAGCACACGGGCACGGTCAGGAGGGCTGTCCAGCCCACTCAGTGACCAGGCTGACCAGCCACCCGACCCCGCACCAAGTAGGCGGGGGTGCGCAGGACAGAGGCGGGCTACTCACAGGGGGACCAGCACTGCCGCGAGCACCTTTGGGTCCAGGAGCACCAACGTTACCCTGTAGGGGAGCAAAGGGGCATCAAGTCTGGGCCAGTCCTGGTCCGAGCCCGCCAGCCTCTCAGGGCACAGAGGCTGTGACACTCACAATGGGGCCAGGGGGGCCAGCGGGGCCAGCAGGGCCGGGAGGACCAGCATCGCCTTTAGCACCAGCGTCACCAGGCTCGCCTTTAGCACCAGGTTGGCCATCAGCACCCTGCGGGAGGAAGGAGCTGGTGAGTGGAGGACAGGACCTACCCATACCCGTGTCGGGAGGGAGTCGGGAGGGGCAGTCACTCCAGGCGGGAAGCCGTCCCCTCCTACCCACCTCCCACTCAGGCTGACACCTCTGTGCTCATTCAGTCATGCAAGGTCCCAGTCCGGTGGGTTATGTAAAACGAAGAGGGGCTCAGTACTCACAGGGGGGCCAGCGAAGCCAGCAGGGCCGGGGGGACCAGGTTCACCACGGTCTCCCTAGGAGAACGAGAGGCAAGCTGGAGAGAGGCCTGGCTTTGGAGAAGGTGGGGGGGTAGAGAGTGGGGCAGAGAGGGCCAAGGGGACAGTGTGAAGGGGGAGAGAGGCCGAGGTGGGGTCTCGACTGGGTCTTCTGTACTTACGGGGGCACCACGAGCTCCAGTGGGACCAGCAGGGCCGCTGGGACCAGTCTCACCCTGAGAGGGAAGGAGGAGGGGTCAGTACCCTGAACCCTCCTGGCCATGACCCCAGGACC